CAGCAACCTTAAACTATAACAAACAATCAATTTCAACAAAATTGACTAAAGATTGGACAGATTTAGAAGATAAACTTCGTAAACGACATGATTATAAGAAAAATATTTGTTTCTACAAAGAAGTAAATATGATGTATTTATTTGGTTTACCAGAATTAGTTAAAGAATTTCGCGAGAAATTTGAACAATTGAAAACTACACATGAACCACAATCATGTAAAATTAATTTATCAGAAAGACAGGTATAGAAGATGTTTTGACCTACTTTTTATCCATATGGATATCTCTCTATTGTACGATATATTTTATCATTTTAGCTCAATTATTTAGCATCTGTAGCCAAAGCAGATATAGCTAAACTTGAAAAACAATTTAAATCAGATGGTTGTGATATAAGTTTAACTCGTTTACGTAATCATCGTGAATTTCTTGCACCAGTGGAAATGCATTCAAAAATTAAAGATAGTCTTGAAGCATTAGCACAAATACGTGATATTACATTTGAAATTAATGAACCTGGATTTGATGTACTTGTTAGTAAAGAACCGGAACGACTTATGAATATTGTGAAATCAAAATGTTGGCTTGAAAAAACGATTGACACATATCGTGATTACATTTCACCCCCAAAAGCACGAATATCAGATGTTGAAGATAGGGCTAAACAACAAAGTCAAACTGCAAGTGCACCATCGAATGTTACAAGTGTGACTATGAATCATTCAACCGTCACAATATCTATTGGTGATTTAACAACACAAAATGTAAGTTTTCTTAAATTTAATTGAAATATAATAATGAATCGTATAGGTCGATGCTATAGTTGCTTGTTCTACATCGGAATACCTTTGCAAAGCGATTACTGACAAAGCAGGTGCTCAAGTACAAAAAGAATACGGTCTACTGAAAGTATCGGGTGCATTTCCAGGTACAACATCTGGTGGTACATTACCATGTAAAAACATTTTATTCATACCTTGGTCACCCGACTCACGCGATGAAAATAGTATAAAATCATCACTCAATACATTTATTGAATTAGCATTTGCACAGGCAAATGCAGTTGGGTGTAAAAGTATCGGTTAGTTGAATAGAATTATTTATACTTAAACTGTATACAATTGTTCTTTATTTCTATAGCATTTCCAGCTGTTGGTTGTGGAAAATTTAATTTTGATCCATTATTAATAGCTAAATATATGCTTGATGAAACACGAAAACAAATAAAAATACAAAAATCAAAAATGAATATATTATTTATTCTATTAGCCGATCAACAAATTGTCTATGATGCATTTGTTAAACATCTTAATCAAATGGTAACAATAGATTTGACTGTAAATCAAAAAATTCCAGTAAAACAAAAAGATGATCATCAGACAATTGGATATGATAGAAAAAGTAAATTCGTTTCTTTTCTTCTTCAGGCTTATTTTATCGTTCTATTTATAGTTATTAAAATAGTATTAATTAGTACAAATGAAAATCATCTAATGAAATGTAAACAAGAAATCATTACTTTAGCACAAACATATTCGATTAAATCAAAATTAACTAATAAACAAGATATGCTTGATTGGTCACAAGAAACAATTTATAAATATTATGAGTTTTGTTTAAAACAACGTGTTATACCAACACTTGATCTTGCTAATGTTACACTTGAACTTGTTGGTACTAAAGATGCAGTAAGATTTCCTATATTTCTCAATCGAATATTTTATATAGAATTATTTAAGGTACATGAAGCAGAAAAATATTTTTATGAATTAACAAGTCAAACACTTAAAGAAGAACGTATTCAAGCAGTTTCACGTGGAGTTGTATGGTCCGTTGAACTAATACCAAATTCGGATACATGGGAACAATATTCATTTAAACTTAATGGAATTATTGAAGATGCTCATTTAAAAAAACATCCTAATGTATGTTCTTTCAATGAAATAGAGACAAATCTTTCGAGTTAGATCGTTTAGGTTGACTTTACAAATGATAAAGAAGAAAAATGTCGAATAATCTTTGATACCTTGGAAGAACATCATGGATTAAATACTCGTCGTATACGTCGTAAACTTTTAAATTCAACATTACCAAGTGTTAGTATATTCTAATTTTTATACTTTATAAATATATTTAGTTTATTTAAGACATGGGAACCTTCAGATCAAAATTGTAAACGAGTTATTTTATCGCCCACAACATCAGAGTATCAAAATGTACTTGCACAATTTCACGTTACTATGCTTGGTAAATATTCACAAATTGTTAAAATTGAACGTATTCAAAATGAACGATGGTATAAACAGTATGATGCACATCGTGATGATTTTAAACGACGTTATCCAACATTGGATGAACGTCAACTTTTTCATGGATGCAGTCCTACAGCAGCTGATCAAATTATTCGAGAATGTTTTAATCGATCATTTGCTGGTGTTAATGGTAAATTGAAAATAGATAATAATTAGAATAAAAAAATATGATTTTTTCTTCGTAGGTATTCTATATGGGTGTGGAGTCTATTTTCATGCTCAAGCAAGTTATAGTCATCAGTATGCTCAAGCGAATAATCCAGGAGATAAAACGATGTTTTTAGCACGTGTTCTTATTGGAAAAACATGTAAAGGTGATAGTAAAACGATAGTTCCACCAGCTGGTCATGATACAACGACCGATGGAGGACATATTTTTGTTGTATATCATGATGCCGGTGTTTATGCAGATCATTTAATTACATATAGATGAGAAAATCTATTTATTTAATTGTTGTTTTTTTATTATTTCGAAAATAAAAAATTTAATTTTTTTATAATATTGTGAATGTACTTCTCATGGTGTTTGAAAACTATACTAATGTCTTATTTTAGAAGTTATATCATTGAAATAATTGAAACGATGGCGACGGCAATTGATTTAACTTATGAAATTTTACGTATCTTTTCTGATTCACATCGAAATGAAATGACACTTATTGAATTACATACTATTTTAGCTAATCAAATAAAACGTCTTACTACTGATGAAGTACTTCGAACACTTCGCTCAACAAATCTTTCAAATCTTTTTAGTATTCAATTCATCTCAAATGATGTATGTTTGATACAATTAAACCCGAAAGTAAATTGAAATTAGTAAAAAATATTTTTGCTTAAATATCTTTATGTATGTATAGTTAACTCTCTGTGAAGCTTGTTTACAAAAATCTTGTAAGAAAATGAATTGTACAAAATTACATTTATGTTGTTATGTGTCTCATTTTTCAAATAAGCCGTTGGAGAAACCTTGTTTTTTTCCACATACACTTCGTCAACATCCGAATAATATTGTTTTATTAAAGAAATTTCAATATGATACATTAGATCAAGATCTTCTTTTAAATCTTCTTCGTTTTTATCATCGTATTAATAATAATGAACAAGTAAAATAAATAAATTATATATTAAATTTAACTTGATTATTTTTAGTCACAACCAAGACCATATACTAATTCAAAACGACCAACATCATCACAAAATAATGTGCAATCAAAATCGGCAAATTATCGAATGTTCAAATCAAGACCGCCATCACAATTAAAGAAATCACCTATTATTATTATAGATAATGTAACAGAACGACAATTAGATATTAGTATTCCATCGGAAAGAGATGCACCAGATGTTGATCTAGAAATTGTTCAACTTGTTCTCGCAACGAAAGATATTATTGTTGAACGAACATTAGAAAAACAAATTTCAAATGATTTCTATCGACGATTTACATTACAATTTAAAGATAAACAAGGTAATCAACATAACTGATAAACTTGAATATATTTTTTTCGTTCTATAGTTGTTGATAAAATACTACAAACTGAACCGATTATAGTCTATAATAATATACCAATAAAAATGAAACGAACTGTACGACAAAAAGATTCAAAAATATTTGCACTTAAATTCAATGTAAATAAAAAAATCGATGATATTCGTTTAAATTTATATATCGAAACACTGATTGGTAAAATAAATTCGAATGTATTCGATATGACACCCGATGGTAATAATGAACAAATATATCTTATTCGATGTGAACAATCAATTGGTTCGTAGTTTTTCTTATTTATTGTATAGTAAATTTCAAACATTTTTATAGATTTTGATCATTTATATAAAGTACATTCAGCAAAAAATACTCTACAAGGTTATACTGTGACTATTACAGAAGTATATGAAGCTCAAACTATTGAAGTTTCTTTACTACAACGGTCATCACATCAATCTATAAATGTAAAACGATTACGTCAATTATTTGGTGAAACTCGTTGGCAAGAAGATGTTTTTGCTTGTACTTGTATTCATGATGAGAATACTGCTGATATTGAATTAATGAATGCTGAAGGTACAATTGAAGAAAATTTCGAAAAGAAAAATTTGATTTATTTTCGTTTTTAGTTACTGCAAATTGGTTAGCAGAAGCAAATAGAATGGAACAAGATTTATCTTTAAGTATTCATCCTATTATTGATTTTATTCAACCATTAGAAAAGAACGAAAAACAAGAAGAAGAAGAAGAAAACGATGAAGAAATAAGCAAAATACTTAGTAGTCGATCAAAAATATCCTCTCCATTATCTCCTGTCAATAGAACTGATACTACATCAACAGCAGATAATGAATCTGGTTTATATACAATTAAACCTGATTGGCGTATTGTTCTTACACATCCAACGTTCGGTGATGAATATCGAAAATATATTCGTATGAATTCATTCGTTTACTAAATAATATTATTTATATTTTGTAGGTGAACATATGAATATATCTGTTCAAATCACCGGTTCAACTATTCAAGTTCCAAATGAATATGTTCGTAAAGAATTAGCACGTTATACAAATATGTTCATACAAACATTTGTTTTTCAAGAAGTTACAAATCCAAGTAAAGCAGAAGTGAAATTAATTAAAGATAATTATACACGAATGACACATAAATGGCAAGCAGATACGAATAAAACATTAATTGCTGCTCGTCGTGAAGTTATGAATGAACTTTTTCCACGTCCGAATTCAACTATTACTCGTCCACAAAATAGAACACCCGCAACTCCAGCATTCCGATATAAACAATCACCAATTCTTAAAAAACAAACACCCATTGAAGAGTAACAAATAATTTCCTTTCTTTTCTAGTTTTATTCTCTTTTTTTGTTATTAAATAGATCGATTCTAGATCAATCTCAAATGAAAACAACTGAAAATAATTTATCTACACTTCCTTATACAATAGAAAATACTGTTTATTTTCCTTTTTTTTCTCTATCAAATCCATTTGCTAATCGTCTTAGTACATATTTATTAAATACATTTAATATTACATTAGATATTAAACCGGTTTCACCAACAAAACTTGTACTTGACCTAAAAGGTCAATCGAATGATGTTAATGATGCTCGATCTGCTTTAACAGCATTATTTGCCTCGTTAAAAACTAAAACTTATCCTGATAATAATGATGATTCGAAATTTACTATACCTGATGTTTATCGTGTAGTACAATGGAATCTTGATCAAAATTCAATAGTATCATCCTGTAGTTATTCACCCAAAAATGGTGGTCTTCTCTTAGTAAGATATTTTGCTAATAATCCACAATTTGGTGTTGATGAACAGAAAATCGATGATATTATTCATCACAATATTTATGCTATTGTTCATCAAATATTAATCACAACAAAAACTCTTGAAAAACATCTCGAAGAATTACAGACAAGAATTCAACAAAAATCCGATTATGGACAAAATATATGTTGTTTATATAATTATTCTGATAAAAATCGATTATCTTCAATACATTTATGTGGAACAAAAACTATTGTTGATGATATTTATTCAGAAATTAAAAAAATTATTGATGAATATGCACCAGTCCCATGTAATGTACAATTGCCATCAAATCAAGTATGTATCTAATATTTGCAAAAAATATGATCTATTTTTATTTCTAGGTTAATTTTCTATTACAAATTTGTTCAGCGGAATTAATTAGATTTGAAAAACAACATGAAATCGATGGTGTCGACTTACGTTCCGGATTAAAATGTGATAAAACCAGTCAATTTTTAGCTCCGAAATATTTACATGAAAAGATTAAAGTATTTTTACTTGAAATGAGTCAAATACAGATGGTTTCAAAAGATTTTCAATGTGCAGTACAATTATTTAAGACTAAAAAAAATGAAATAAATACTTTAGCATTAAAAAATCGTTGTTTACTCTCAATATCATTATCTTCTCCACCAAAGGCATCGTCTCGAGTAGCAAGTACTACTACTTCAACAGCAATTAGTGTATCTAATGGGGATTTAATTACAGAACAAGTAAGATTAAAACTTTAAAAAAGAAGACATGTTTATTGTTTTATTTATAGTCCGATGTTCTTGTTATTTGTTCATCATCTGCCAAACTTCGTGATGTTATGATTAAAGCAGCTGGTAATCAAGTTGAACAAGAATTAAATGGAAAAGATCTAACAAAAAATATGGTAGACACGTCAGCTGGTCAATTGAAACAAGCTAAACGTTTACTTTTCTTACCTTGGCAGCCGCCATCTAGTTATATTACTAATCAAGATATAACTGTCCTTCGTCAGTCAATCGCTCTATTTATTCAACAAGCAATTAAATATGCTATTCAAGGAAAATTTCAAAGTATAGGTATGTATTTATTAGTAATTATCTATTTTTCGAAAAACATTTTGTAAATGCTTTTAGCATTTCCTGCTATTGGATGTGGTGGATTTGGGATATCACCTGATGTAATTGCTACAATAATGATTGATGAAGTACGTGAGCAACTCATTGCGAATCCAACTATTCAATTAATGGTTAAATTTGTTGTACAACAATCACATGTATATGATGTTTTTAATGCGAAATTAAAACCTACATCTATAACCGGTGCTAGTAGAAATCGTTCTCCATCTCCATCTCATTTATTAACTCAAGAAAGTTAGTATTTTTTTTATCTTTCAATTTATTTATATCAGGATTATTTATTTCTAGAAGTTAATATTACTCTTACAACAACATATTCAGATATTGACAAAGCAAGAAATCTACTAGACACAATTGGAAATATACTTGTTTAATCATTTAAATGAATAGGAACCGCTGATTTTATTGTACTGCTATTTTTTTTGTTCATTTAAGCTTAATATTCTCTAATCATGATAAAAAGTTTCATTTTTCTTTGTCATAGCAAAGGATGTTGTGAACAAGTCGATTTCAAGAACGATACACTACAAGAGATAACTTATAAATAGTAGTAAAGAAGTACATGTGAAGGGCTGCATGAATATTAATGGAATATCGAACTGAAAAGTTGTTGTCTATTAGTGACCTCTATTGATAAGGAATATAATTTGAGAGGTGATTATCTTTCTGATGATTGGTTAGCATTACCTTAATTTTCTTTACACATTCTGTATACTTCATCGATTCTTTCTTCTTTTTCACTAAGAGAATTCTAAATCTACGAAATAAGTTCTAGTCATTCTCATTATGCCTAAATATTATTGTGATTATTGTGACACATATTTAACACATGATTCACCATCTGTACGAAAAACTCATTGTCAAGGAAGAAAACATAAAGAAAATGTACGTGATTATTATCAAAAATGGATGGAAGAACAAGCTCAAAAATTGGTTGGTTTATTTTTTATCTAGTTTTATTACTATTTCTTTTTTGTTATAATTCTTTATAGATTGATCAAACAACAGCTGCTTTTAAATCAGGTAAAATGCCCAATACACCATTTCCAATGCCAGCACCACGTCTTATGAATCCAAATATGGCACCACCACGACCCGGCATGCCAGGAATGGTACCACCACCATGGGCATTTGCTTTACCACCAGGCATTCGACATTTAGGACCACCACCTAATCCAGCTGCAATGACAGCATTAATGACTTTTCGACCACCACCTGGTATGATGCCTCCAGGTGTACCACCACCGTCTGCAATGCCAATTCCATCTACAGAATAATACTATAGTGTACTTTTTGAGAATGAATATCATCTTTATTAACTGTTTTGTATGTATATTTCGTTATAACTATGTGTGAGTTAATATTAAAAACAATCATTCATTCTCATTCTTTTTGTTTTATTCGGGTTCTTTTTTAATAGGTTCTCTGATTGAATATAACTACCTATTGAAACCATACGAGAAATTTATAATAGTAACTTAAAAATAAAAGAAGATTCTAGAGAAGACTTCGAGACTAATTATAGCGAGTAAAACCTTTTAAAAGTGAGTTTTTCTAAGATAACATCATTTATATGTTATCGAAACGAAAAAATACTGATATAATTTTATTGATCATTGATATAACGTGCCATCGATATCAACAAGGTCTTTTTATGTTTTTCAAAATAGTAGTTGTTATGTATTTTTCCTAGATAACATCTAAAAAATGAAAATAATTTAATTAATATTAGAGGACAAAAATAAAAAAATTGTTTCTATTGTTTTTTTCTTCTTCTTCTAGATTATAAAAAGTCAACATCAAATAGGTAATACTCAAATAAATAATAAAATAAATATACTTACTCTCGCATGAATATAGATCTTAGAAAGAATGAATAAGAATGATGATCTGATGTCATTCGATGATAATAGTAGGTGATTCACAATGCTTTAAATATTTGCTTAGTCTAGTGTACACATTGCTTTTTTTTTTTAATAATCGAAATAAATTTTTATCTAGACGAAACAATGATAAAATATCTTCGTGAAAAGATTATTGGTCATCCAGCAGTCTTTTCTCGTGCTGGTGATATACCCATAGATGAGTAAGATTTTATTAATACTCAAAAGGAAAAAAACAAAGTTTCGTTTTTAATCTATCTATAGTAATATATCATCTATGCAAAGAACAAATTCTCAAAATAGTTTAAACGATATTATGTCAATAACTACAAATTCAAATGATTCAACCAATACGGATCGACCTATAAGTCAGGTATATTATTAGCTGAACATACATTTTTCATTCTTACACAAGAAATATTCGCTTGTTCTTCTTCTTATGCACAGAATTCACTTGAAGTTGATGTCAGGTATATATATTTATAAAACAAAAAAAAAAACGCTACAACCTTTTTTTTTGCATGCTTGTGTTTATGGATAAGTTCATTATGTATTACGAAATGTTTGATCAGTTCTGTAAGAGAAAAAAATGAATGAATGTGACAGTTGAGACCTAAACCATCAGCAGGTGTATATCAGTGCGTTTTCTTTTCGATCCTTCTTGCTTTTTTTTTTCATTGCTTTTTTTCCTTCGTTTCGCGTTCTGCTTCGCTTTTTTTTGCGTATTTAGTTAATTTGCTTGTTGTTGCTTTCGTTCTGTGCTGTCTTTCTCTCCTATATTTTGTTTCTATATTCCTTATATAGTCATCGACGGTTTTTTTCAATTGCATACACGAGAAAAACTTGTGTTGTTTTGTATTTACGATTATTTAAAAGAAGATATTTCTAACTAAAACTAATCGAAACAAAAAAAAACTAAACTAATAAAAGAATGGCTCGTGCTACATTTAGTCCGTTAATAAAGGATCAGGTGAAATATTATTTTTATTTTTTATTTTTATTTTTTAAAACATAAATAATCTATGTTATTTTTTGTTTTGAAATATAGGTAGAAAAATTAATCGCTGCTGGCGGTGTTGGTGGAATAAATATGGTTCGTCGACCAGTATCATCGTCATCACCAATAATTATTCCAAAAAAGCCACCACGTTCAAATGTAAGCACGTATTATTATTTATTCTCACTATAACAAAACGTGTATGACATGAGAAAAAAAGAAGAGAGAACGCTACAAATGACTAATATTATTTTTATTGAAACAACGAGTCATTATTCTTTTTATTCTTAGACATCATCACAAAGTTCTTCATCATATACATCAGTAGCTGATCAAATGTCTTCGTTTGGTGTAAGAATAAAACTTAAAATATCCTTTTTTGTACAAATAATCTGTTTAGGAATCATCAATACTAAACGATGATGGTGTATCAATTCCAACGTTACCATCAGCATGTCAACAACTAGAACATTCAGCTGCACGAGATCGTATATCAGTTAAAAATAAACGACGACAACCAATTAAACAAAAAGTAGAATAATGAATAAATAATTATATTCTTATTTTTTATTAATTTAGTTGAGTACACTTCGAGAAACGGATGATAATGATATAGATTTATTTTCATCGAAAACAGAAGGTAAGCATTATTAAAGATTAAAAACTAATTTGGGAAAAATAAGGGCACTAACGTATTTATTTCAAACTTAAAAAAACAAATTTGAGATATTTTGAGTATAGATGATGATGAAATTTGTCCACCTTTACCGCCGAAACAGAGTTATATATACAATCATTCATTTTCATTACCTTCTTCAACAACAGCAATAAGTTCAACATCATCACCAAAAATAAAGATTAAATTAAATCATCTTTTACATACACTTTCAATTAATTGACATAAATTATCGATCGCATCTATATATTTTTTTTTTTCGTTTTATATATTTTGTATTAATAAAACGAATTTGATATTTTCAGCTATATCATCAACACCGGAAGAGGAACAATCAATGTTTATAACAACACATGTTGAGGTAAATATTAGAGTAGTTTCAATCATATGTTCAAATAAAATATGTAAATTCTTCGAATTTAGTTACATAAAAAAAGATAAAGCAATGTCATAAGTTTTGTGTCTGATATCATATTTATTTTTTATTTCGACAAAAAGAAAACGATAGTCATGAATGTTTATCTTTAAAGATCAAATTCATTAACGTTGTAAAACAAAAGAAAGTAGAATTATTTTGCGATACTTGAAAATATATGTATATAGTCAAGCTTCTATCAGTATGATGACCTTGAGATCATTCAAATCTTTTACTACACCGTTAAAACATTGATTGTGATATTTTTTAGGATAAGAAAGTAAAAGTGTCAGTCCTTTAATGATAAATGAGTTTAAATGATATAATGTCCTCGTTTTCAAGGTTCTT